TCATGTAATGGAGTGGAGAAGGAGTGGACATTGTGTTATTTACAACCAATAATAAAGAATAATAAAGAAATCAGACAGGAAAATGTACCTTGAAGTGACTGTTACAAGCAATATGTTACTTGATCACATACATAGCAGAGTGCATGTGGCCCATGCTATGATAGCTACCCTTAAGATGGCAATATGAAGCACACAGATGCTCCATTGATGAAACTGTTCTTATTACTTATGTTAAGTCAAAATTAGAATACCAGTACAGTGATACCTTCGTTTTATAATTTAATCCATTCCCAGGGATGGTTCAAAAACCGAAAATTCAAAACAGAAACTAATTTTTCCCCAAGAAATAATGTAAATTGAATTAATCCGTTCCACACCCTCAAAAATATGAACTTAAAAATACATTTTATACATATATTTTTTTACTACAGTATGTACAAGTATATCTTATTTTTATTGCGGACTCTTGTTGGTGAATGGAAGACAGGAAAGGGGGGAGGAGGAGGAGAGGTGTTTAGTTTGGAAGGGGAGTCCCCATCCATTATAAGAACAGTGATGACATTTCTGGGGGTGTACTCCTATGTTTTGCTGGCATCCCACTAGGACCTGGTTGTCTTGCTAAGAATCTGTCTATGGACACTTGTTTTTCCCTACATTTTAACACTTGTCTGTAGTGAGACATCACATTGTTTCACTATGAATGATCTCTTGTTTTTCCTCTATTGTAATCCTCACAACTATTTTCTAAGGTTGAACTTTACCACTGACTTTCTTGGAACCCATGGCCTTATATATAATAAGAACTTTTATGTTCATAAACCAAAAAAGCACAAAAACAATGAAATTCTTCACAAAGAATTCAAGCACGCTCATCACTAGGCAGGAGACACTTGTAAACTGAAGCGCACCACATGCTTGGTCGGCCCATATGTGTATCAACAGACTCGAGCACCGAGTTGGCCAGACCACACACTAGAAGGTGAAGGGACGACGACGTTTTGGTCTGTCCTGGACCATTCTCAAGTCGATTGTGAGAATGGTGAACTGCGACAATCGACTTGAGAATGGTCCAGGATGGACCAAAATGTCGTCATCCCTTCACCTTCTAGTGTGTGGTCTGCTCAACTTACTTTAGCCCTGTTATTGTGACTCATCGCCTGCATCAAGCACCGAGGCAAACCTTGAATACCGAGTCAAATTTTTAGAAGAAATTGAGCTCGAAAAAAGAAAAATTTGAAAAGAGGGGTCATTCAAAAACGGAGTTTCCGCTGTATGCTGCAGTGGTGTTGTTTCCACATAAAAAAAAGCATGTTTGTAAAATTGAAGGAATTCAGGGGCATTCAACAAGTGTTCCAGAACTCGATTACCCTTCAGAATGAATAAACTTATTGAAGTTGCCTAAATGGAAAGATAGATAAAAACATTGGGACACGAACAATAATGCACACATAAAATAATGACAATGTTTGAGAATGTTATTAATAAATAAGACTTATATTTGCATGCCTCACTTGAACAAGAGGACACAGCTACAGTACACTGTTATGAAATATCAGTGTTGATGGAATATTAATACAAAAAATTTGTGATATAGGAATAAAGTTTGTAATGTGGGAATAAAGTTTGCAGTGTTGAAATAAAGTTTGCAGCATGGGAATTAATATTTATGACTACTGTATACAATATGATTACATTTTTGAAGAAGATTCAATAACATAAGCTGCTTCTCTCTCATCGTACCTACAGTTAGTTCATTAAAACATGTGAAAAGTACTGTATTATATACGGTACTCACCAAATTTTGCTTGCCAGTTTGAGTTTTAGGTCTTGTGTCCCACCTACTAACCCTCGGTCAACTGAGGTGCAGGGTTCCCAAGCTTATTGGGCTCTTGTCATATCTGCACATGAATCTGTGTATGGCAGAGTTTGTTTTGCCCTCTTCACTTCAGAGCACATTCCATTTATTCACTAATCTAACACTCAAAAATTTTTGATATTCAGTACTGTATGTGATATACAAATCCTTTTCAAATTCCTAAAGGGAGATTAGATTCAAATGTTGGCCAACCTTACATACGCAGCTGCAAGAGACAGGAAGATGGAAGTGTAAGAGAAAACAGAAGACTTGAAATATAAAAAGTACAGTACATTAATGTTTTGTTTAGATTTAAATGCAGTTGAATGAAGGGTGCTGTGTATTTCCAGGAAGTACTACAGTTCATTTGATGAAAGAAATGAGGTCACACAGTTGAATGAAATGGGAAACTGAAGTTAAAATAAGCATGACTGATGTTGAATGGAGTGTGCCAAACATCCGAATGAATCAAGAGAACACAAATGACTGAAGTGGTTTTATAAGGTGAAGGAAGTGTGTCGACATGTTTTAAAAGTAACGGGCTGGTGAGCAGGTGGCTAGTGTGATGTTGCTATGGACTAAATGACCTCACTATGGCATTTGTGTTGTTATCCGTCTCCCTAAGACACTTCAGTTATGTGTGCTGGCGCCCTTTCAAACAATGATATAATACTAGAGTCAACCACAGTGCTTCTTGGCATCTCAAACCTATTATTATATACACGTTGCATAATGTAGTAGAGTTCTTTGATTTTAAACACAACCCTACCTTTGATATTTGACAATAAGACAATTAAAGAAATTTAATTTTTGTGCTAAAGTCTTTACATATTTCCCCCTTTACTGTAATATAAAAGTAAATGACTTCCATCAGTGAGAAAATCAGTAGGAGCCATCTACCTATCCTCAGTTTCATTACCTGTTCCTCTGTTGTTTTCCTTCTGATGTACTCACCTAGTTGTGCTTGCGGGGGTTGAACTCTGGCTCTTTGGTCCCACCTCTCAACCATCAATCAACAGGTGTACAGGTTCCTGAGCCTATTGGGCTCTATCATACCTACACTTGAAACTGTGTATGGAGTCAGCCTCCACCACATCAGTTCCTAATGCATTCCATTTGTCAACCACTGACACTAAAAAAGTTCTTTCTAATATCTCTGTGGCTCATTTGGGCACTCAGTTTCCACCTGTGTCCCCTAGTGCGTGTGCCCCTTGTGTTAAATAGCCTGTCTTTATCTACCCTGTCGATTCCCTTGAGAATCTTGATGTGTAAATGTGTCTGTGTGTGTCAGTTTATCCATGGTGTTGCTGGGTGATGGTTGTGTTAAACTTTGCTGCGCGAAGTAGCAATTTCTCACTTCTTTACATCAATCACCTTTTGAGGTTGCATGCTCAATAATTCACTGTATGTTGAACAGATCTCTAACCCTGTCCAGACAGATCTCTAACCCTGGAGGACAGAATATAATGTACAGTATATGCTGATTAACATTGTATAAATGAATGGCTTCGTTTGTGGTAGGAAAACAACTTTATGGCAGGAACAAAACGTAGCGAAGAAAGATTTTATTGAACTAGCCATAAAATTTTGTGAAGTTACTCTCCACATTTTATTTACAGTTGGGTCCCAATCCTCAACAATACAGTTCTATACAGTACTGCACTGTACAGTAATTGAGACAGTATTTATTTTTAGATGGTTATTTGGTCCTATATGGTTGGGAGTTTTAGAATCCACAAAAATGTACAGTATAAAAAATATATATATATATGTAGATTGATAATACTCAAAGCTTTGTATACACAGTACAGTGAAATCACAATAACATGATACAGTATATGAGAAAATATTGAAGCTGTATGATGGGATTGAACCTGCATCCCTGTATACAGTTGGCTTCGTTCTCAACTCTCAATCTGGGCTCCTGGGTTTCATTCCCGGGCAGGACAGAGGTGGTTGGAAACATTTCCCTTTGCCTTATGCCTCTATTCATCTAGCAGTAAATAGATACCCGGAAGTTGGTCAACTGTTGTTGGGTTGCATCCTGGGAAAGGTCAATAGTTCATCCTTGGAGTAGTTACTGTATAAGCCTTATGTATATACATAATTTAAAAATTAGGCTCAGAGCCAACACGAATAAGTAAGAATAGTTGTGAGAGGTGGACAACAGTTCTTTGGTGCTACTGTTTGAGTTCCTCTCTGGTCTACTATAATTTGCTTATGCATTTGTTCATTCATCTCAATAATTTAATTACATAACATTTTAGAAGCTATTCTAGTTTATTGCATGTTGTCGTATTGCATAAATTAGTTTATTATGTAAACATTAAATTTTCTTGGTACAATATTTTCTGACAGTTCTAAACATTGTTTTACATAATCTTATGTATTTTGATTCTACATAAATCTACAGGAATGAATCAGTATTTGAAATCAGGATTCCCTTTCATTTCTTCCAGTAAACTATCTAGAGAAATGGACATTTGAGTACAGTACTTTTTCAGTTTCTTGTCTCATCCTTCACATGCAAATGCCCCATAGGTCCTGTAGCACAATAGTCTACGTCCTTGTGTCACAACTGAGAACTCAGGCTCAATGCCCTGGCAGGACAGTAAGGGTTGGGCTGGGTTTCTTTTGCCTGATGCATCTGTTCACTTAGCAGTAAAATAAGTACCTGGGAGATTTTAGGAAATTGTGGTGGGTTGAATCCTGAGGAAAGATGATAGTAGTTGGCTTGTATATAGCACTTGGAAGGGGTCAGGATAAGTATTAGGATGGGACAGGGGAAAGGAATGGTGCCCAACCACTTGGACAGTTGGGGATTGAACACCGACCTGCGTGAAGCGAGACCGTCGCAAACACCTCAAGGTAACCTACCATCCAGCCCAAGTAGCTTAGGAGATACAGTCTATGGATAAGCCCAAGTACAGGCTTCCTGTCTCTGACAATGAGAATTTTTAGGATTGATGTAGCCATGTGTTGAGTTTTGCATCAGAAGTAAAATAGAAGCATGCAAATACAATTACAGTAGTTAATTTATAAAGATATTTATTTGTAATACTGTACATAGTGTTTTTATTTTGTTTAATAAATATTGTGCTGTAATGTATAGGTTAATGTTAATTATAAAATTAATACAGGTATGTATTTGAGTTAATAATATAATTGTGTACATATTATAAATGCAAGTTATTACAGTGAATTGTTAAACATTAAATATGTTGCTCTTCTTGAAAGCCTGTGAAATTATCATTCAAAGTCCTAGGATCAAGATGTGTTCAATGCACGTCTTATCATTCACACAAGACTTGACCCTTCTACCAAATCAGCGTCTTATTACTCGCATTACTCATAAGTCCTGGTCATTCTCTTTTCCCTTCTTCCAATCTGTTTGCTGTCTGGACCAAATCATGAGACCATCCATGTGCCATGAGTGTCCCAAGTCCCAAGACACGCTCACACTCACTCCCACCACCACCACGGTCAGGAGAAAGGCAGACATTCTGCAGCAATTGGGCGGGAAAGATATTGAAAGAAAGGTAGTGAAAATAATTGGTGTTAAGAAATGAACTGAGGTAAATTACTGGGTAATTTATTTAGCAGAGTAAGTTGTACAGAGAAAATGGCATAGTACAATGTTGAGTTTGATGGGGGAGGAAGATGTGAACTAGAGAGAGAGAGTAGGGGAAGTGAGAGAGTGGGGGGAAGAATAGGGGAAGTGAGAGATGGGGGAGGAAGAATAGAGGAAGTGAAAGAGTAATAAAGAGAATGGGAAACAAGAATGACAAAGAGAAGGGGAAGTGAGAGAGAAAGAGAAGGGAACATGATAGAGGGAGGGGGGGAGAAGATGGAAGAGACGTGGAAGTGGGGAAGGGATTAAGTAAGAGGGAAATGAGAGAGCTGCTCAGCAGGCAGCAAGTGATGGCGCCTGAGACACGTGGCTTGGTGACCTGTAGGAAAAATAGGATGTTGAATTTATGAAACACTCCTTTCTGAGCATCTCCTTGCACGCTCCCAAAGCCATGTTTTGGGTCTTCCCACGACACAAAACTCTCGCCAGACTCTTACCGACCTGGGTTCCATAGTGACAAAGAACTTTACAAAATTATCTTGAATCCTAAAACTTCTCACTATGATGCCAAAGAGAAATAAAAATATGACATAATCTCTTAAGAAATAGCTGAAATACTGTAGTGACTGGTGTATAATGTCTAGGTTTTATTTTATTAATCTTAATTTTTTGTTTTTATTTATAATTAAATTGTTTTATTTTTTCAATGTTAATTTTGTTTTGGTTCATTTCTGGTGTTTGCAAATATGTGTATGAGAAAAATGTTTGTCTGTGTATAAGGTAGATTTCCTGCACACTTTTGTGAGGGTAGCATCACTGCCCTCCACCACTCTCGGAGGGGAACTAGAGGTACAGCACTGTAGTAGCAGATGGAAGGACGAGTGAGGCATCAACCTAACTATTAAGGCATTTGCCTCAGTTTTGTCATTTTCATTGGACAATGGTGCGGTTATCTGGCGAGTGATATAATACTTTATTCTGTTATATATGTTCCATTTCATGTACAGTATTTCTAACCTCTGTCTGCTACTAGCTTCAGCTTCCCTTGGAGAGTGGTGATCAGTGATGCTACCCCTAACAAAAGTTCATGGGGAAATCTACTTTACAGACATAAACTTACTCTCAGACACAGCATACTTGCAAAGAGTAGCAGATGAAACATAAAAAATTACCATTAGCAAAAATAAAAATAAAACAAACTGAATTTTAAATAAGAAGAAAACATTTAGGTTAATGAAAATAATTGCAAGATATTGCATACTAGTCATTTCATGACAAGGATAGCAGGCATATCTCTGATAACTTTCAGTTGGCTAACTACATACTACTCTTAACTTCCACAAGATGGCAGTACCTCCATCACAGCCAAGTCATAGGAACTGGCCATGCAAATTACTCCCAAATGGAATAAGCTCTTGCATGTCAGTTTTTTCAGATGTGAGGTAAATGAGGAGAGTAAGAACTGAAGAGGACTGTAGGGTACTGCAAAAAGACCTTGACAAACTTCAGGAATGGACAGATAAAATGGCTGCTGGAATTCAATCCAAATAATTGTACAGCAATGAAAATGGGTAAGGGAGATAAGAGATTTGCATTTAACTACATCCTAAAGGGAAGACAATTACAAAAAGCAAAAAGAGAAAAAGACCTGGAAGTGAATATAATCCCGACACTAACAGCTCATATGAACAGGATAACCTCAGTAGCATATTGAAAGTTAGCAAACTAAGAACATAATTTAGTAATCTAAACAATGAGGCTTTCAAGTCTATACACACTGTCTATGTAAGATCATTACTTGAGTATGCAGCACTAGTATGGAACCCATACCTTGTAAACATAAAAAGAAACATGAAAGTTTAGAATTTTGCAACTTAGATTAATAACAAAACTTAGAGGGCTTAGCTGCGAGGACAGTTTGAGAAAATTCATCCACACAACCTTATTGGAGATAAGAAAAGGAGAGGGTATATGATCACTACATAAAAGATTCTGAGAGGAACAGATGAAATGGACAACAGAATCCTATTTAAATTAAAAGGAGTAAAGACATGGGACGTCGGTGAAAATTGGACGAGCAAGTGACTCGTAGAGACATAAGAAAGTTATCATTCCCTGTATGAGTGGTCGACAAGGGGAATGCAATGAAGGAAGAGGTTGTTGAAGCCACTTACATTCACAATTTTAAGAAATTTTATTCACAAACATTAATGTTGAGAGAGAATTAGTGGGTTGGCTAGAAATAAATGGATAAATGGTTAGAAATTGGGGCATAAAGCAATAGATCTAACTCCTCCATAGTCATTGATAGGTAAGTGAGGACTTCAAGAGTGCAAAGGGGAGCGGCTGAGAAACTGCTTAAGCAGGAGCATTTCATATATTCATCATCATATTTCTGATTAAGGTTATCTCAATTACTCCCCAAGCCAACTCTCCTCACAGGAAATGCCTCGGAAAAAAGCACTAACAGAAATGTATCACAGCCATACTCAAGAAGTTGAAGAGCAAGGAGACTGAAGGTGGACAGCCACACTAATACAATATGATGCACAGAACAGGAATTAGCTGTTGGAGAGAGTCCAAGGCCACAGCTCTGCTACAGCCAAGGCACTCAAGGAAGATAATGGAAGGTAAACCCTAACTTGGCCTCTGGAACCCTCTTAAACTAGTCTGCAAACAGAACTTTACTAAGAGGTTATGAGAATGAAGGTAAACATGAGGCTGACTCCATTTAATATGAATCAACAGCTGCGAGAGGCATGTCTTGGACCAGCAAACAAATGTGCAAGGATGCACAAACAGGAAGAATTGAGAAGTAATTCATGAGTTGCAAGTACCTGCTGCTCAGTCTTTTCCTTGTTAAAAGGCTTGGGCAAGCCCAAATTCATGTTAGCAATTGCAGGGAACAACTGGTACTGTACTTGTGATGTGATGTACAAGCTCTGAGTTCCCACATCACGACCAAGCATTCAGGAAGGAGGCTCAAGGAGGACTGTAGCCTATCTCTGAAATAAGCCATACTGCACTCAACATGAGGCATGTCAGAGATAACAGGGGGTGGTTGAAAAACTGTGAAATTTACCCTGAAAAACTGCATACAGCAGACTTCTTTACACTAGTAAGAGACACCATTGCACAAAACAAGCATTATTAAACTCTTGGAGCATGATAGCTAGACTAACTGAACCCCAGGGCTAACCCTGAATTGGCAGTCTAGTTACAACAAGCATGTACTTCACATTCACACATTGAACCTCATCATTGCCAACAGGGAAGGGTTAAAGTAGTCACGTACTATAGAGGTTCAGTACTCGCTCCCACAATGGAGTGAACAAGCATGGTTTATCTACAAATGGATTCTCGAGTTGTTCTACTCTCCAAGCCTCACCCCAGTCTAGTGATAACTCGAGCTGTGAGGCTGTTGCTTGTAGCAGACTGCAGGCACACAATCATACAACTCTGCTGATCCAGCACTTCTTCAGGAACTTATCCAATTGTGTCTTGAAAATGTTTAATTATGTTTTGGAAATACTAGTATTTCATATAATTAGTGGAAGGGGGTTGAAAAGCCAGGTGCCTCTGATGTTCATACCATACAGTGTTGTCAAATTCTGCTTATGACACACCTACTTTTTAATGATTCTGGTCGATTGTTTCCATGTGGTGAGTATATTATAGGGACTTTAAGATGGTGCCAGTAATTTAAGTTTTCTCTGTGCCATATATGTTTCCTTCACTTCAAAAATCCAGCCATGGAAGTTAACCCCTATAACCATTCTAAAGTACAAAATAAAAAAGCCAGACTTGCAAATAAAGTGAATATTAAACAATGGACACTTTGTACAAGGACTGCTTCTCAGGGAATAACTAGTCAACTACGCAGTCTCCGTGGCGTAGTGGTAAGACACTCGTCTGGCGTTCCACGAGCGCTTTGTCCTGGGTTCGTATCCTGGCCGGGGAGGATTTACTGGGCACAAATCCTTAACTGTAGCCTCTGTTTAACTCAACAGTAAAATGGGTACTTGGTTGTAAAAATGATTCTTCGTGGGGGGTCGTATTCCAGGGAACATAGGATTAAGGACTTGCCCTTAATGCTACGCGTACTAGTGGCTGTACAAGAATGTAAGAACTCTTGTATATATAAATAAAAAAAAAAATTAATCGTCCTCTGCATAGCTGGGTAGAATTTCGGCAGATTACCGGGTGGCAAAGAAGGGTAACCGGCTTCTCCGTACTTTTTGTGGTATGTTGTACTGCCATCTAGTGGAGTCACCAAAGGGTAGCAGAGGTATAACTGGCATCCTTTGTGTTTCCAGTTATTTCTTGGATAGGAAAGTTTTAGTTTTTAATTTTGTTCTTTAGTGTCATAGCAAGTGGACTTTTTTTTGGTGGTGGATTGAACTGTATCTCCCCCTAACTCCCCAGCTAGGCCTAGATGATAAAACCACTTTAAATGTTTGTCGCTGTGTCACAGTTGGGCACAGGCCAATGAGAGCCTGGTGGGAGTATTGTCTTGTGGGACTTTACCCATGGCTTAGGGGAACAACTGAGGGTGCCTTGCTCAGAAGAAAATAAAATTGTCATCTCGACCAGGAAGTGTATGAAAACAATTTATAAATGTAGACAGAAATACTGTAATGTAGAAACATGATATAATGTACAATATGCCATATGTATTTCTAAAGAAAGTGCTAACTTTAATATTAATGGATTGAAGCACCAAAGTTCTCACCTGAGGTAATCCTCAATATACTGTTCAGTGGTGATGTCATGGCTTGAGTCGTGGGTGTCTTGGGCGACTGTTTCTTGAGTGAGGTGAGGTGATTGTGTAGAGGGATGTAAATGGGAATCAGAAAGGTGGGGTAAGATTTGAGTAATGGTGGCAGTTTCATGAATGGTGGTGGGTTGAGTTACAGGGCTTTGTGTTGATGACTGAGATAGTGGTTGGGTATAAATTGAAGGGTGTTCTGTGGAGGAGTGATGCGCCTCATAGGAATGGTGTGCTTCTCCGTGTGCTGCTTCATCTGTTTCTGCTGCTGGTGTGCGTTCCTCTGCAGATAATCACGGTGAAAAAAGTCATTATACTGTGTAATTTCTTAAGTGATTTCATGCAATATTGTATACTGCACATAGCATAATATGCTATGTATTATGAGTAGGCAATAGCAGAAAATTGGAATTATTATACTGTAGATATTAGCATGAATTCTGGACGAAGTAGGATGAAAGCAAGAGTGGGGATTGTAGTAGCCATGCTGAACTGCTGGTACTGGATGGAAAGGCATGACCACTGCCAACAAGTTCGATGACAAAGTAAAGGTAGTGACTGACTTAGTGTACAGTGGTTACAAATGAGTGAATTATCAGACAGCTGAAAGATTGCTAATGTTGCATTCATATTCAGTACAAGAAGGGAAATTGACAGATGGCACTAAACTAAGTTTTTATTGTTGATATATATATATACCTTGCAAATTCCTTGGGAAATTATTAAATTGTAGATCAATGAAATAATCAGAACAACCAAATTCTGTGATGAAGTTTCAACATGGGTTCACAGAAGAGAAGAAGTGTCTTAACAAGCTTGCTGGAGTTCTATGACAAAATGTTAAAGATCACACTGGAAATGAAAGAACAGACTGGTGGCATGGATTTCCAGATAGCCTTTCAATACTTTTCCAGGTTAATGTACAAATTTGAGAAACAGGTTGGAGTATAGTGACTGGTAGCCAACTGAACTGGGTGGGAGAATACGTATCCAGCAGAATGCATAGGGTAGTATAGCAGTGAGAACGAAGTGATTAGAATACTGTAGTGTATAGGGAAGTAATGAGCTGTGTACAATAAGGATCAATGCATGACCTTACTATTTTTAATTTCTATCGGTAACAAAACTGACGAAGTAAGATTCTCCATGTCAATATCTGCTAATGATGCAAATCAGAAAAGAAGTAACTTGAAAAATGTTTCAGGTGGACTGGATTAAAAAGAGAGATGGTCTGAGTACTGATTGCTCAAAATTAATAGAAACAAATGAAAGGTGATGAGATTTTGAACTCTTATGATGAAGCTACAGGAAGATTTGTGACCCAATTACTAAGTCACAAAAAGGGAAATTTCTGGGAATAGATATAACTCTGTAGCACAATGGTCTACCTCCTTGGCTCACTATTGAGGGACCTGGGTTTACTTTCCAGGCATGACAAATACTGTAGTTGGGCATACTGTATTTCCTTTCGTCTGATGCCTGTTTTAGCCTAGTACAGTAATTAAATAGGTACCTGGGAGTTCGGCAGTTGTTGTGGATTGCATCCTAGAGACAGTCAGTAGTTATCACAAGATCTCAGTAAGTCTAAATAGAGCCTTCCGGTCTCTGACAACGGGAATTATGAATTATAACCGCAGCCTATCAGTGGAGGCACATATTTATAGGTCAATATGACCTATAAATATGTACAGAAAAATATGTAAAGCTGGTAAACATGTGTAGCCTTAATGCGTTTGGACAAGGACATTTTCCGGACACTGCACTACCTAGTTAGGTTTGTACTAGAATACAGTATATATACCCCTTGGGTGGAATCCTTGTCCAAGAATAGTAGAAAGTAAAATTCGAGAGCGTCCAAAGGTGTGCTTGAAGCCTAGTTATTGAACTGGTTACTAGAAGAACTGAAATACAAGGAAAGGCTGAGGAAATGAGACCTCAATATACTAAGAGAAGGGAAAGCTGCAACATGGTTTGAGATTTATAATGATTTATAATGGCATAAGATTTATAATGGAATTCATAAAATGAACAGAACTGAAAACAGTGGTCTTTGTCCTCGGCTCACATCCAAGGATTCTGGTTTTGATTTCCTGGTGGGACAGAGATCGTTGGGCACATTTTCTTTCATGCAATGCCTCTGTTCATCTAGTAGTAATTAGGTACCTGGGAGTTAGGTAACTGTTGTGGGTTGCATACTGAGAAAGGCCATCAGTAATTGGTCTAAAGGGAAGATACCTTGATAAGCCCAACAAGCTTCCTGTCTCCCATTATAGGAAACTATAAGGTGAACAGAGGTAGGACAAGAAGAAGAAATTCTCAGGGAAAAGCGCCGAGTCATTGCGACTATATAGACGTCATAAGTATAAATTAGAAACTCTGATAGAGATACAAAACAGTACTTTATCAGTGTAAGAATAATGAGCGAGTGGAATGAGCTGAAAGGGGAGGATGTAGTTGAGGCTAACTCTGTCTATAGTTTCAGAAATACTGTAGTTATAATAAGAAACAAGAGGGGTCAGGGGCCATTGCAATAGGTGACTTGCGAGTATGGGAGTGTAGGAACACACGTTCGATTTGAAATTTCTACCCAAGTATTCAGGAGCATTGTCAGTAAAATTTTTGTACCTTTTATCACTTGGTGGTGAATGAGTCGAGTTCTCTGCGAAGCTGTTTTAATGTGGAAAAATACGATAAATACAGTAGATATAAATTCTAATACTGTACAATTTACTTTCTTGTATTGTACTGTATTGCTCCTATCTTCTGGCATGTCTCCCCCACACCCCATGAAAATGAACAATTGATGGGTGATGATATAATGAAAGATATTGATATACTAGGGGAAATTGTAGAGAGTACCTATTATGTAAAATGTGTGTGCTTACTTCAATATTACATTAAATAAAGTACAATACAATGTACTTTAATACTGTAATAAATAGTGGAAAGAATGTGGAAGTACAGACCTTGCTTGGAGACTGAAGACTTCAGAAAGTGGGCAAAACGCTGTTGTCGATGTCCTCGTTCTTGTTGGATTGCAATTATGTGAGACTTGATGTTATCTAACTTGAAATCCCGACTCCCCCATGGGCTGTCCTCTGACTCTCCCACCTCTTGTGCTTGGTAACTCTCATAACGTTTTCTAGATGATGCTCTTGAGCTCTTGCTAAAACGTCGGGCGTGTGTGTTAATGGTGGGCATTGAATGTCTTCGCCAGTATGGAGCTATGTGCTTCCTTCCAAGTAGTGTAGTTTCTGATTTTCGTCTTAAGAGTGACCTCTTCTTTGATTGTCGTTTGTGCCTTGCTGTTGCTATTTTAAATCGAGGCTTAGAGTGATTGGATTCCTGTCTTTCTGTGTTTAGTTTATCATTTGTGGTTGAGGAAACAGGGATGGAATTTTGGGATACACAATCAACCTGGTTTAATGACTGGCTTTCTGGTGCCTGCTGACTTACGGCACTTGAAGGTGGCAGAACTGGCTTGCTATTCTTCATTTGTACATTTACCTTGGCATAAATATTAGGGAGACTTGGCACTCTAGTCATACCAGACATGGCATTCTCTCTGGTCTTCACTATGACACTGTGTCTCGTCTTCCTTAGTTTGGGTTGGCTGCCACCTATTTCCTCCGGTAAAGTTAAGATAATTCTTGGTAATGATGTATGTGGTCTCATCCCCCTGTCTATCTTATGACGTATTGCTTTCTCATTAAATAATACGATCTGGTTTGCTTTTAACACGATTTTCACTTGTTGGTTGCTGTTCGTTACATGGGCACGGGGAAGATAGAGTGCTGAATCACTCATAGAACGAGTCAAGTTCTTTTTTTTTGTACTAATTTGTTTAGTGGTCTTTCTGTCTTTGTAAGAATTATCCTTACTATACATATTGCTTGACTCAGAGCCTCCATCAGTTGGAGTCACAGGAGAAGAGGGGCCAGATGATGAGTGACTATTCTCAGTTTGGTCAACCTTGGGTAGCTGAAAACCTTCACGAAGACGACCTGCCCCTTTGTCATTGACCCATTGTGCAGTGTCACGACACTGCAACAAAGATGGAGATGTATCGCTTGGGTTTGTTGTGTCTTTGTCGTCCACATCTTTTTGAGGCTTGAGTGTTTGGAAAAAATGTTGCATTCGACCTGCTCCTTTACCTTCAACCCATCGTGCTGTGTCACGACACTGCACTACAGGTGAGGATGTATCTCTTGGGCTTCTTGCATCTTTATTGTCCATATCTTTTTGAGGCTGAAGTGTTTGGAAAAAGTTGTGCATTCGACCTGCTCCTTTTCCTTCTACCCATTTTGACGATTCAAGGGGATCCAGTGTCGTCTGTGATTCTGGTCTTTGGGAAGGGGTACTTGGGGACCCACTAGGTGATGACAAACTGGGCATTTTAGGAGGGGCAGCGCCATAGCCATGAACAGATCGTGCACTGTCAGAGGAAAGGGGTGATCCTCGGATCTGAGGAAATTTCACAGATGAATTGGAGTGAGTTCTCTCTTCGTGGTCCAATTCTCTATCATCATAATCATTTGAATCTGCAGAATGCTTTGATCCACGGTGGGACCTCAAGCTGTGTGCCGAGTTATTTTCTTCAAACGCTTCATCCACATCGTCCCTATATTCCGGCTTGTGGTGATGCTTTCTGTCACTCTCATGGTCGTAGTTGGCATCTTCCCTGTCATCATCATAATCATCATCGTTGTGGTGTTTTTCATGCTGTCTCATTTCTGTGTTGTCATGTATCATATTGTTGATTTGAGGCTTATTTTTGTGCCTTCCTGGCTTCCGCTTGACTTTTCCGTGCTTAGTCTTGTGCTTGGAGGAGTATTCTGAGGCAAAGGGCTTGTGATGGTAGGTTTCTGCTTTGTGGTGCCTGCTGTGTTTGTCTCGATGCTCGCTGGAATACAAAAATTGCAATAATTTTTTATTCTATATAAATTTTGAAATCAGTTGTGTAATATTAATTTAATTCTATAGCCTTCAGCTACTCGCTCATTCACACACACACGTTTTGGTCTTGAAAGGCCATGGTTTTTGGTCGGGACAGACCATAGGTTTTGATCAGGAGAGACCATGGTTTTTGGTCATAAAAGGCTGCGGGTTTTGATCGGGCGAGACCGGGGGTTTTGGTCGGGCGAGACCGGGGGGTTTTGGTCGGGCGAGACCGGGGGGTTTTGGTCGGGCGAGACCGGGGGGTTTTGGTCGGGCGAGACCGGGGGGTTTGGTCGGGCGAGACCGGGGGGTTTGGTCGGGCGAGACCGGGGGGTTTTGGTCGGGCGAGACCGGGGGGTTTTGGTCGGGCGAGACCGGGGGGTTTTGGTCGGGCGAGACCGGGGGGTTTTGGTCGGGCGAGACCGGGGGGTTTTGGTCGGGCGAGACCGGGGGGTTTTGGTCGGGCGAGACCGGGGGGTTTTGGTCGAGCGAGACCGGGGGGTTTTGGTCGGGCGAGACCGGGGGGTTTTGGTCGAGCGAGACCGGGGGGTTTTGGTCGGGCGAGACCGGGGGGGTTTTGGTCGGGCGAGACCGGGGGGTTTTGGTCGAGCGAGACCGGGGGGTTTTGGTCGGGCGAGACCGGGGGGTTTTGGTCGAGCGAGACCGGGGGGTTTTGGTCGGGCGAGACCGGGGGGTTTTGGTCGGGCGAGACCGGGGGGTTTTGGTCGGGCGAGACGTGTGGGTTTGGTCGGGCGAGACGTGTGGTTTTGGTCGGGCGAGACTGTGGGTATTGGTCGGGCGAGACTGTGGGTATTGGTCGGGCGAGACTGTGGGTATTGGTCGGGCGAGACTGTGGGTATTGGTCGGGCGAGACTGTGGGTTTTGGTCGGGCGAGACTGTGGATTTTATTCGGGCGAGACCGTGGGGTTTTGGTCGGGCGAGACTGTGGGTATTGGTCGGGCGAGACCGTGGAGTATTGGTCGGGCGAGACCGTGGAGTATTGGTCGGGCGAGACCGTGGAGTATTGGTCGGGCGAGACCGTGGAGTATTGGTCGGGCGAGACCGTGGAGTATTGGTCGGGCGAGACCGTGGAGTATTGGTCGGGCGAGACCGTGGAGTATTGGTCGGGCGAGACTGGGTTTTGGTCGGGCGAGACCGGGGTTTTGGTTATGAGAAATGAGCACCAATTGGTCCTGGTTAGAAGAAATAGGTTGGGGGTTTGGTCATGGCAGACTAGAACAGCCTGTGGTTTAGTTAGGTCATACAGGTCATAGTTGTACCATAGTTTGACAAACTAATCCATCATGGTTTAGGAGGTATATGTAGGAATAGATAGTTTGTCTAATATAATATTACTTGATTGGAATATGACATGGTATGATAAGTATAGTGCTTCAGTGAAAATTGGCCATGGTTTGGGTGAGGTAGCCTGTCGACCTGTCCTTTTACAAAGAACGTCGCAGTTCGATCTTTTTTTTTTTTTTTTTTTTTTTTTTTTTTTTTTTTTTTTTTTTTTTTTTTTTTTGAGATATATACAAGAGTTGTTACATTCTTGTAGAGCCACTAGTACGCGTAGCGTTTCGGGCAGGTCCCTGGAATACGATCCCCGCCGCGAAGAATCGTTTTTTCATCCAAGTACACATTTTACTGTTGAGTTAAACAGAGGCTACAGTTAAGGAATTGCGCCCAGTAAATCCTCCCCGGCCAGGATACGAACCCATGACATAGCGCTCGCGGAACGCCAGGCGAGTGTCTTACCACTACACCACGGAGACTATTCATTGCACAAGGCCAAAAATTTTCGTACTGGAAAATGGAAGTGGGTCTCAAAGTGACGTACTGTCCTGTTTTCTGTTTTGGGTCCTCTGGTTAGGTTAGGAGAGGACACTTTAAATTGACCATTTTCTTGATATTGGGAACCCTTAGAGGACGAACTGCTGGGTTAGTTAAACGTCCCGTAGTTCCACAGCTCCGCTCCTGTACTAGGTAAGTCCACTATGGGCTCACCATAGCCCGTGCTACTTGGAACTTTTTGTTCAGAGTAGCTGAATCTATAACAATAAACATGACACAATGCATGCTGGAGTGGCTCGGTGAGAACAGGCCAAGGTTAAGGAAAAACTTACTTAGACTTTGGTTGATCATGCCTGAAGTCAGTGAAGGCGGGAGGAAGTGGAGTGCGGCGCCTGTTGAGGACTCGCTGGAAGGGAATGAACGGCATCTTCGGGGTGTGGCTGCTGTTACTGTCGTTGCTGAGGCTGTGGCTCCGCCTCTCTTTCTTCCGTCGGTCGAGGTGGAGGTTGCCCAGAGTGCTGGCAACATCGTCGGGGTTGGCGAAGCGGTGGTGGTAGTGGTGCTCGTCGTCGGAGGCGTTGTGAGAGTGGTTGCGGGAGTGGTTGCGAGAGATCCTGCTGCTGCCGCCTTCGCCCCACTGGCTGTTGTGGCCGACGGGGGAAGGGCGCCGCGAGCTGCATCCCGCCATGGCAAACACGTGTACAGGATTATGCAAATGTTAACACGAAGGCTAATAAATATGTAACGTATGTATTGAATCATTTTCGTACTGCATGTAATTATATTAAGTGTAAGGTGAGCGTTAGGAGTGTTTGGGGGGTGTGAGCTCCAGGGGACAACACACCTGCGGGTAGACCTGGTGAGCACTCGCTGGAAGGGGATGTATCTGTCGCTGGGCAGCTTCAGGCGGCCATTTTCATCCCTCTCCACCATGGTGGTAGCTGCTAGGGGTCCTCCTCTACTCCAGCTGCTGCATCAAGTGTTCAACACACACACACACACACACCTGTACAGAAAGAATGAGAATTGCATAATTTTTTCGTATCATTTTCATAAAAGGTGAGAATAAAAATCAACAAGCTTGAGTGTGGTGTTAGGAGGGGAAAATTGGTATAGTAGTGTACGATGACTATAGAATGGTGTCCACATTGCCTCGTGAAGGTAGTCGTGCGTGATGCGTTTCCTCTATGACTCCAAGTCCTGTAACATGCCCACCATCAGCACAAGCTGGCATGGCACCGCACTAAATGACTTGTGTTGACACGGAGGGTAAATAATTGTTTGACACAGGTGTTGATAAATGTTTTTGGAATGGGGCTTGATAATTGTTTGGACGAGCATAGCTTGGGGATGGGGTTGGGGGTTGGTCTGACCTTGGACGAGCATAGCTTGGGGATGGGGTTGGGGGTTGGTCTGACCTTGGACGAACATAGCTTGGGGATGGGGTTGGGGGTTGGTCTGACCTTGGACGACCATAACCCAAGGATGGGTTGCCCACATATCGTACAGTAAATACAAATTATTGCCAACAGAAGCTAAACACCTAACCTCGTATATAAACCTAAATATAAACGAAGCTACGATACATTACAGTGATATACGTAACTGCTTCTGTATCCCTGGTGATAACATATTCATCTGGTGAGGTTGAAGATTAAGGGATGACAGTCCAGCGGATCTTTTTTTTTCGGGAAAAGGTTCGCTGGACTGTCGGGTTTCCAGTTAACTTAGGGAAAGGTTCGCTGGACTGTCGGGTTTCCAGTTAACTTAGGGAAAGGTTCGCTGGACTGTCGGGTTTCCAGTTAACTTAGGGAAAGGTTCGCTGGACTGTTGGGTTTCCAGTTAATTTTGGGAAAGGTTCGCTGGACTGTCGGGTTTCCTTAACATTTTTTCCAATTGTGTTTGGACTGTCAGGTTTTCATATAATTTAAAAAATTCGCGTTTAGACTGTCGGCAATCCTTATAATTTTGGAAAATCCCGTTTAGACTGTCGGGTTTCCTTATAAATTTCCAATTTTGAATTAAAGAATTCCTATGAGAAAAATAATTTCAGAGATCTTACAAGTTTGTTAAGAGATCTTCTGGGAGAAATTCAAAATATTTCAGAGTTCCTTTTTATGAAAATATTTCAGAGTTCATATAATCATAGAAGTGTTTTTCAGAGTTAAAGACCGAAAATTTTCAACATACTTGAACTTGAATAACGTGATCCGTCCACAGATTTTGAGTTGTGGGAAGTGTGTCGACAATGGTGGTGACGTCATGATTGCGTGACCCCCTAAGGGGTCAAACGCCATTTGTTAATTAAAGAGTGGTATTGTTCAACACAGATTGACGACAGGGTTAATTGGTTGAAAATAATGAGCAAATTAGTGCTTAAGTTCCTATGTTTAGCACAAATGGATTATACCTCGTGATTTCCAGGAAGAAATTTGTCCGTGACCTTGGCTATTCCCCTCACACCTGGACAGGCTACACTACCCATTTTCCACCTGGCTTGATGAAGATTAAACCACCCAAGAGGTGGCACGGGCATGAATAGCCCGCAATGTTGACCAATCCACATGCTAGAAATGAAGGGTCGACGACGTTTCGGTCCGTCTTGGACCATTCCCAAGTCGATTGTCGACTTGAGAATGGTCCAGGACGGACCAAAACGTCGTCGTACCCTTCATTTTCTGGTGTGTGGATTGGTCAACATATTTCAGCCACTTTATTGTGACTCCTCGCCTGCAATAGCCCGCAATCCTTCCACCTTGATGTTGTTGTTATAGATTCAGCTACTCGGAACAAGTTCCAAGTAGGCTATGGTGAGCCCGTAACTTACCTGGCACAGGAGCGGGGCAAGTAGCACGGGCTATGGTGAGCCCGTAACTTACCTGGCACAGGAGCGGGGCAAGTAGCACGGGCTATGGGCGAGCCTGTGTTCCACCTTGACTTTACTGGCTATCATTAAGGGCGACACACGAGAGGTGAAAGCCCGCCTCTTTCTGAATGTTCCTGGCGATGGACTACCAGAGTTTACATTAGTGTATAATGTACTGGTAGCTAGTGAAGAGTGTACACAAGAGCCGGAGGGAGGTGCAGGTTTACTAAACAGTGTTGTTCATCACTGTCAATCATGAATATCGACCATCGAAGAGCATCATAACATATGCACCATAATGGGAACTGAAAAGGGAGCTAGGAAGGGGTCATTGGCCAATACAAAATGAAAGGGGAAACGACTCCCTGAAACAGCGAACGAGTGAGACCTGGGAGTTAATATTATCCTGAGTCTAGCACCATTTGGCTCAAGTAAATGGATCAGCGGCATATTCAAAACCAGGAAGCTTAAGAACAGCATTTATGAACCTGAGGAAGGAGGCCTTTGGAGCATTGTATTCGAAGTACTCGCGGCCCAGTTTGGAGTACGCCGCCCCAGCGTGGAACGCCCCCACCTAAGGAAGTATAAAACCCAACTTATAACATCAGAGAGTCCGGAGGTATGACTCCAAGGAAAGGTCAATTGGAGCTGAACCTCACCAACCATGGTAATGGAATGGAGGAGACACGATAACGACATTTAAAATTCTCACGAGAATCTGTAAAGTTTGTCCAAGACATGTTCTGTTAGTCATAGTATGAAAAAAAAGGTCTCAAGTACACAAGTACGTAAGAAATAACTTTCTTAACATCAAGGTAGTTAGGAAAAGATAGGTATTGGCTTGAGAAATAGTAGAATCTGTTCCAATAAATACAGTAGTGTCCGAGGTAAATATGAAAATAAATTGGTCTGGAGCTACTATATTAGATGATCGACAGCTGATAAGGTGGTGGTCTCAGGAGCTAGATTTCGACCCGGCCAGCACATTTAGGTACACACACACACCCCAGGTACACGCATGTAGGGCAACCCGTTCTCGCAAATTCGTAAAGTCAATATTGACTTATTAACTACGTGCATAGGTGATATACTAAACATAATAGATACCCTTAAAAATATTCATAGAAAACACCGACCTTACCTAACCTTGTTAGTATCTTAAGATAAGCATCTTATTGCTTCGTAATTACAATTATTACTTAACCTGTACCTATTATAGGTTAGGTAATAATTGTAATTACGAAGCAATAAGATGCTTATCTTAAGATACTAACAAGGTTAGGTAAGGTCGGTGTTTTCTATGAATCTTTTTAAGGGTATCTATTATGTTAAGTATGTCACCTATGCACATATTTAATAAGTCAATATTGACTTATTAAATTTGCGAGTACGGGTTGTGTAGGTATACATATAGGGGGCCTGGTAGTTGAGTGGACAGCGCTTGGGACTCGGAATCATATGGGCCGAGGATCGATCCCCAGCGATGGTGGAAACAAATGGGCTGGGTTTCGTTCACCCTGATGCCCCTGTTACCTAGCAGTAAATAGGTACCTGGGAGTTAGACAACTGTTACGGACTGTTATGGGAGCCGGTCGGCCGAGCGGACAGCACGCTGGACTTGTGATCCTGTGGTCCTGGGTTCGATCCCAGGCGCCGGCGAGAAATAATAGGCAGAGTTTCTTTCATCCTATGCCCCTGTTACCTAGCAGTAAAATAGGTACCTGGGTGTTAGTCAGCTGTCACGGGCTGCTTCCTGGGGGTGGAGGCCTGGTCGAGGACCGGGCCGCGGGGACACTAAAAAGCCCCGAAATCATCTCAAGATAACCTCAAGAAATCATCTCAAGATAACTGCTTCGTGGGGGGGGGGGAAGTTGATTGACTGACAGTTGAGAGGCGAGCAGAAAGAGCTCAACCCCCGCAAGCACAACTAGGTAAACTCTCACATTTAGGTCCATACACTATCTTTGAATAAGAAAGATAGCCGTTCATTGATATTGATTTAAGTATTTGGTATTTATTTGTATTTTAACAGCCTCTTAATCAAGGCGTTAACTGCATCTGGTCACGACTGTGTCTGTATTCTACTATTTATGCTTACAGTATCGAACCATTAGCTCTTGGACCCCGCCTTTCTAACCAATTTATTTTTCCTCATCATTTTTACTACATATATTTCTCATAATACACACACACGCGCCCAGAAAGCAACCCGTAGCAGCTGTCAAGCTCCCAGGTACCTATTTACTGCTAGGTGAACAGGTGCACAAGGGTGAATGATCTCTGCCCATTTGTTTCTGCCTCGGCTGGGAATCGAACCTGGGCCATTAGGACTACGATCTCTGAGCGCTGTCCATTCAGCCGCGAGGCCCTCTCCTGTACTCACCTAGTTGTACTCACCTAGTTGTGTTTGCGGGGCTTGAGCTCTGGCTCTTTGGTCCCGCCTCTCAACCGTCAATCAACAGGTGTACAGATTCATGAGACTATCGGGCTCTGTCATATCTACACTTGAAACTGTGTATGGAGTCAGTCTCCACCACATCACTTCCTAATGCATTCCATTTATCAACCACTCTGACACTAAAAAAGTTCTTTCTAATATCTCTGTGGCTCATTTGGGCACTCAGTTTCCACCTGTGTCCCCTTGTGCGTGTTCCCCTTGTGTTAAATAGACCTGTGTTTAAATAAAAATCCTGTGTGTGCGTGTGTGTGTGGGGGGGGGGGGCGCCCCCACCCCCTTACAATCACATACTACCACCACCACCACAGTCCATAGTATCTACTTCTACCACCATTATTAACATAACTACGCCACAACCACCCATAATCTACCCCCCCCCCCCAGACTACCACCACCATCATTACTACCACTACCACCACAATTACTACTACTACTACCACCACCATTACTACCACCACCACCACCACCACCAACTCGTCCATTATGTACCCATTACAGCACTCTGTAATCATTACCTTCCCTGTACTGATTACGGCTGAGCTATGAAGGCCTGTGTGTACCTCTCCCGTAACGGCTGTGACAAAAAAAAATTCTGGTTTTGCTGAGAATACCGTGTGACTGTGAAAAATAATCACAGGTTTTTATTTACTTTACTGGATGGGGTCCCCGGCGGTGC